TTCCTGCTGAGGAATCTCTCCTTGGCTTGTAGATGGATGTCTTCATGTTCCCCTGTCATTCTCCCTCTGTCTTCACATGGTCCTTCCTCTGTGCCCTAATACCCTCTTCTTAGAAGGACACCAGGCGTTCTGGATTCGAGCCCACCACAGTGATCTCATTTAACCGTTATTACCTCTGTCACATTCTGACGCACAGGGGTGAGGACCTCAGCGTCTGAGTTTTGAGGGACACAGCTCACTCATAACAGGGATATGTAATAGTCTTTTTTATTTTTAAGTTTTATATAATTTCAATGGTTACTTTTCCATTTACAGTGATTACGCAATATTGGCTGTCTTCCCCATGTTGTACATACACCCCCGAGCCTGTCTCACACCCAGCAGTCGACTGTGCCTCCCACCCCGTGGTGCCCCTCCCCTCTCCCCACTGTAAACCACTAGTGTGTTCTCTGTATCTGTGAGTCTGCTTCTTTTTTGTTATATTCACTAGTTTGCTGTAGTTTTTAGATTCCACATGTAAGCAATAGCATACAGTATTTATCTTTCTCTGACTTATTTCACTCAGTACAATGCCCTCCAAGTCCATCCATGTGCTGCAGATGGCAGAATTGTGTTTTCTTATGGCTGAGTAGTATTCCATTACGTATTATATATACATGTGCCACTTCTCCTATATCTATTCATCTATTGACAGACACTTAGGTTGTTTCCATTTCTTGGCAATTATAAATAGTGCTGCTGTGAACATTGGGGTGCATGTATCTTTTTGAATTAGTATTTTTATTTTTGTTGGATATATGCCCAGGAGTGGAAATGCTGGGTCGTATGGTAGTTCTCTTTTTAGTTTATTGAGAAACCTCCGTACCATTTTCCACAGTGGCTGCACCAATTTACGTTCCCACCAACACCGTACAAGAGTTCCCTTTGACTTGTGTATATGCCTCATATGAGTATATTTTAAGGGTCAGTTAGAAATAGTGATTAATTTTTTAAAGTTGCAGTTGAGCCGGAACTGAAAGTCACTAATAGAAGGTAAACGTGGCAGGTGCTGTGTGATGCATTGTGAGGAGGATTGCTTGTAGGGGCCCTCATGGATGATGCACGATATGTAGTTCATGGCCTTAGAGAACAACTGTACACTTAGAATAATATCAAACCTATGCTAAACTTGGCATCTTTTGGCTTTATAAACTGGGAAGGATCATGTGTTGGGAACATCTATGCAGCCTGTATTTATTTCAGAGGTTCACACAAGCATGTGGATAAACATGTCTGAGTAACGTATCAGTTGCTGTTGATATAACCCACTGCTCTGGGCATAGAAACTCTGTTGGGGAAATTCCTCACTTCTTAGATTTTGGGGGTCATTAAAGATCTGACGGAATCCCCATCACTCATCTATCTACTATGTTTTCCCAAGGCTCTGGGTTACAGCACTGCAGAAATCCTCCATCCATGCGTGTGGTGTTCTAGGTTCCTTGCCAACCTCTGCGTCTGTCTTGGTAGAGGCCCAGGCTACCCCAGAACTGGCTTGGGAGGATTGCCAAGTATGTAGAAACCTCTAGACATTGCCAAAACCACGTAAAGG